CCAGTTCGAAATAGGCCGAATGTAAACTTCCTAAGAACTTCAAACTTCCAAAACTTCCTAAGTGTTTTCACACACTCACATACCTTTTCAAAACATTGTTCTCATCATCCCAGAGTGTTTTAAAATATGAACACTTGAACTTCTTCATTCTTCAAATCGCTTCCGATCTTCAATCTTGAAATTCTGAACCAAAATTTTTTTTTTTTTTTTTTATTTTATAATTTTGAACCAAAATATTGCAATTCGATTGGACTTGTTTTGATAACGAAATTAACCAATTACAAAATATATATATCTCACAATCTCCCCAAAATATATATAAATATATATATATCTCACAGCCACTACCACTAGTACTGACTAATGCCATCATCACTACTACTAGGACTACCACCAACCCCAACACGGCTGCTATTACTGTTACTGCTATTGATAGTAGTGGTACTATTTATAGTACTGTTACCACCACCACCGTCGCTGTGAATATAACCACCACCACGAGTACAGCTGCCACAACCACAAGTTGCTGCTGCTGAATCAGCTCCCATAGGTGTTCGTTTCCTAGGACCTAGTTTGACAAATTCTCGATCATTTAAGAACCCTTGGCCTAATTCTTTATATAAGCACTGAAACTTCCAATTGTGTGCTACGTTTTCAGGTTCAAACATCCATAAATTCTATGGGGTTTTAACAAAAAAAAAAAAAATCAACATTTTGACTTTCGGACCCCTTTTAACTCAGATTGCATTTAAGAATGTACGGACTGTCACTCAGTGTCCTTCTCTCACTGTACCCTCCCTCTAGTCGGCCCTCCTCCTTACCCTTGCTTTCTTCTTCTCCTCTGCTACTTCTACCTAAAACAAGACCAGTTCAACAGCCCCAGCATCACCACACGCAAGTAGAAAACTGACAAATTCTTTAATGGTATTTCCATCGCAAAATCAGGCGATGGTTTTTGGTATTTATGTTTACATTCGATGATGGATGGGGACTGGCAGCAGTGAGAGTCGGCATGGTTCATTGCTCTGTGGAGAGGTAGTGGTGGTAGTAGAAAGGTGGAGCCAGTGGTAGTTGTCATGGAAGAGGAAGGAGAGGGAACACAGAGATGGAGAAGAGAGGATGGAATTCACATTGGGGGAAGTTTTTTTCATTTAATATTCTTATTGGTATATTTTTATTTGAATATAATTATAATACATATTGAGGCTAAAATGGTCTAGAACATGAAATATATAGATGATAATGATGGATTACACTTTTTCAGATTTAACTGATCTTGTAATTTCATGTTTTGGACAGTCAGAGCTGGGGGTTACTGTTTGTATTTGGAGGCGGGAGGCGTCAGTCTAACAAGATTACTGTTGTGTTGTGTTTCAAAGCAATGGATCCACTCATTGAATTGAAATTAGAGAAGATTTAGTGTAACATTCCAATTTTAAAGGGTGTAGTCAATATCCTTTATCATTTCCTCCAAGAGAAGGTGGTTTTTTAATTCTATGAAATTTTCTAGAATAATCTTTTCTTTAAAGATACAAAGAAGAAGAGTGTGTTTCTTTGAGTGGTTGAGGTGCAATTGAAATTGTTTTGGAATTCTAATTACTTGGAAGTGGATTTTTCAATCCAAGGAGGAGATATGTTGGGTTGCATGAAATTGTTCCACCTCCATTGTCGTTCCTTCATTCATTCTCTCCCTATATATCGTCTTCTCACATGTGTGTACTTACTATAATCAATCAATCTTGTGCTATACTTGCTAAGTTAAAGTAACAAAAAGTTAAATCTCGTAGTAGTAATTATAATACAATTTAAGTGCTTAAACACTGATTTATTTTCCTTTCTTGCTTTGGAAGGACAAAAATATTTATTTATTTATTTTATATATATATATATATATATATATATATATATATATATATATATATATATATATAGTCCTGATCTCTTGCTCCCTATGGAGCAAGAAAATTAATCCACACTTTTTATATAGAACGTTAGTTTTTTTTTTTTAAACACAAAACTACTCTCACCTTATTTTTAGTTTCTATATTTAATTTTACCATTATCACCTAATTATCAAAATAAAAATAGAAACCTTTGAAAAAAAATAATAGCACTATATTTTACTTAAAAAATTGTTTTTATTTAGATGTTTCTTTGAAAGAAAAATAATACTGGTATCTTTCAATTTTGCAACAACAGTATGATATTATAGTTTTTTTCTAAAAAAATCTTATTGTTCTCAGTATAAGTAAATTAATATACTTCTTTAGTATAAGTAAATTTATCAACAAATATACTGTATTATTGCATTTTGGAATATCGAATTGATTTATTAGACTTGAAATTGAAGAAAATTTCATTTAAAGTTTAAACAAAAATTCTTTTTATTTCAATTTGAAGTTAGGCATTTGGTGAAGTTCATTATTGAATCTGTGAATTTGTGAGTTTGATTATTGGATGATGATGATGTACTGACTATGGTGAGGATGTAGAATCCACCTTAGAAACAATAAGGTAACCCCCCCCAAAAAAAAAATGGGTTAAGATCTTCTCACAACCTTATCCATGGAGAGTAATCATTTGTCCACACTTTTATCCATGAATTCAAATTCAACGCACAGAGAAATGGAGAGAGAGTTGATAATTACCTTTTATTGTTACCTTTTATTGTTACGTAAGTAGTAATGGTAAAATTAAATATAGAAACTAAAAATAGGGTGAGAGTGGTTTTGTGTTAAAAAGAAAAGCCAAAGGTGGGTTTGAAAAATGACCGTTATATTTAATCTAACGGTCTATATAAAAAGTGTGGATCAATTTTCTTGCTCCATAAGGAGCAAGAGATTAGGACTATATATATATATATATATATATATTATTTTTACTTCTTGGTAAGTGAGAAGTTTTAACTTTTGTTGTGTTGTTTTTTTACCCAAAAATAAATAAATAAATAAATAAACGACCTCACCTGCAGAAGGAGGCCGGAACAAGCTTGGCAAAGTGAAGTAACTCTTGCTTTTGACGTTGGCTACCCTAATGATACTTGCTTGGGTTCTCCAGGATTCAGGGCTGGTATATATATATATATATATATATATATATATATATTGTATTAGGAGGTTTCATGGTCATGATATATTTCTTTTGTCGAAATTTACGGTCACGAAACCTCTCTTGCCGAAATCTAATAATTTATAACAAATATCTTATGTATATGTGTATTATACGTGAATAAGTTGTAGTAGTAAGAATTACTATAATAATTAATAATTTTCTTTATTAAATTTGATTCTTGTAGAGCAAGAGGCCACCTTTAATCCCATAAATAGAAAATTTTACAAAAATTTGAGGGACAAGCATTATAAAAATTAAAAAAGGGTTAAAATCACAAAAATAAAAAACCATCTTTTGTCAAAATTACAAAAATATCCCTTTAAGTTTGTCTTCTCCCTCTTCCCCCACGCCTTTCTTAAGATCTCAGTCAACATGGTTAAGATATGGTCCATATCTCAGTCAACATGGCTGAGGAAGTTTAAAGGAAAAGAAGGGAAAGTTGTTTTCGTTTGGAAATGAAGGGGGAGAGGAATTTGTGGGAGGATTTGGGGGAAAAGAACCATAGGATTTGATGTGTATCCTTGTTTTTATGTTTTCTAGTCTCATAAAAAAACTGTATTTGTTTTTTGCCTTCTCAGTGAAGCCAAATAAATATGATAGAGGAGTTAGCATTATTTCTGTAATAAATATATGTGTGTGTATATATATATATAGAATAATAGTTATTATAGAAATAAAAAAACTTTTACACAGAGAGATGGGGAGAGAGAGAACGAAATAGACACACAGAGAGAATGAAAGCTTCAATTTTGATCTCTGAAAATAGTAGACATTCAATGCCTTATATAGGCTCATAGTTTAGCTTCCCATGTACGCCATTTTGGTATCTTCTCTTATAAGCCTCCAAAGCCATCTTTCTTTACAAGCCTCAAAACTTATGATTACATGGATGACTTAATGAATTCGTGGACCCCACACAAGTGTGCATATATATATAACACTCCCCATTGGGGTTCACAAAACTACACTAAGAATATACCTCGTTAAAACCTTGCTAAGGAAAACCCAGTAGGACAAAACCCTAGCAATAGAAAAAGAGTACAATATTCTTATTTATCTTGAAAATGGTATTGCATAGATTAAAAACTGTCTCTTTAAAACATTGCCAGGAAAACCCAGTGGGACAAAACCTGAACGAAAAAAAAAAGAGTACAGTATGCCAATACCTCTTTAATCAATTGCTCCCCCTCATTAGATCAACCCTGAAGATCCTTTAGTTGACGCATTCCAATGTTGTGCACCAGCTTCTTGAATGTTGTAGTTGGAAGCGTTTTAGTGAATAGATCTGCTAGATTTTCACATGAACGTATCTTTTGAATATTAATATCACCCCTTTTTTGGAGTTCATGTGCATAAAAGAATTTTGGTGAGATGTGCTTGGTCCTGTCACTTTTAATATACCCTTCCTTATGCACCATTGAACATTGCAATCACTAGTTCACCAAAGCAGGTCCAAGAGACTGGCATTGCCTCTATAGGGTCACATATACTGTAACACAACCATTGTCGAAATTTAACCAACATTTGCATTTTTTCTTTACAATAACATGCAATATTATCTAATCCAATCTACAAATGTGATTTGAACCTTTAATTTGTGGTATGTGACAACAATAAGAAAGTGGTTTAATGCTTTTATGGCTTCTCACAAGTAATTTACAAATTATAATGAAATTTTGCCCTTTGCATATTCCACTCCTGAAACAAAGGAACTTCTTATATTATGATGTGGCATCCTTCGTTTCTCATGTGATGTGGTATCTTAATCTTATGTGTATCGTCATTTGGCAATTGCAACAATTATAGGGCACACACAAAGGCATACTTGTCTACCAGTAAAAGTTTGTGCAATTTATCATTTAGAGTGTGCGTTTGTGTGGCAGGCGGCAGAGCTTCTAGTGCACCCTCACCTTCAGCCTTACGTTCTAAAGATTCAACACAAAATTAACAGCCCCAGACGCAATAGTTTATCAGTCAGCTGGCGGTCGGAAACAAACTACATGAAAAAAACTGGATTTACAGAGCCAGAAGATGTTCGTCTTACCACGTACAGAGAGAAAAGGCAGTCATTCAGCAATGATAGGACTTTGAATCCAAGTGTATCTGGAGCTGAGCAAGATACAACATTTGATAAGAAAATTACTCCAAAAGCTTCAGATATTGTCAAGGCTCCAAAATTGACTCCAAGGAATTCTCCTGCTACTCCTAAGAAACTAGCAGAGCTGTCAAAGAATCGCGAATCGGTAAGATTACAGATAGTATTATGTATATATTTCTGTGTGTGTGCATATACATATTTAATTATTTTGTTTCTGCTTCTTGTTACCTAGTTATTTGATTTAGTTAATGGATATATATTGAAACGATACAGGTGCATTGATTTACCTGACCCTCTTAGTTGAAATGCCAATATATCTGGTTTTTGAAAAAAAAAAATCTGACTAGTTTTGTGTTGTATATTTTGAACTATTTCAATTGTCGTGTAGCTTAACTGATCGCAAATGAAAATGGGAAATATATGTATATCAATTTAGCTAATTTAAATCGATATATAGAAAATTTCATTCATTTTTTATATTGAATTGTTTCTGTTGCATATTTTAAATTCCTTACTTTGCTTGTTACGCTTAGGTTTCAGGATACCTTGGCGTCTATTTGCTCCTTGAGCCTTAAATAACTGTGTTTTAGAATGAGTCATTCACATGGTGCATTTAGAAGCAAAATTTATTTTTTATGCTAAATTTATAAATGTTCCCTTTTGGAAAAAATATTGTAAACTTTAAATATAGAGAGTGAGGGAAGAAGAGAGGAGGAAATAAAGAGAACATGATAGAATATTGCCGGGAAGATTGAAGGTATGATGATATGTTGACTTCAGAATATCTTCTTTTCAAGAAGCAGAAGCAAATAAAACTTGCAATCTAAAATGGGGGGGGGGGGGGGGGGGGTGGGGGGGGGGGAAGTAAAAATGAATTTAGATTGCATCTTAAAGGTAAGTTAAACATTTTTAGATTGCATCTTAAAGGTAAGTTAAACTGTTAAAGTTGAAGAAAATGTTGTAATACCAATTGGTAAAGATTACATTTTGGAAATGCCATTCTAGCCACACCCATCATTCAGTATTAACAAAACTAAATAAAATAAATTGTCCCTATTATTTCAGTTAGTTACATGAATCATATTTTGCCCCTTTTTTTATACTAAAGAATTCAACTATTTTTAAATAAAATTTATTTCTCTGTTTTTCTTTTTGAATTTCAAATCTTCTTTCTCTTACCTGTATTATTTCTTTGATATTAACATCTAAAACTGTTAATGTAGGTTGTGATGATCTCTTCTGGCATATATATTTTGTAGTCATTGCATGTTAAATGATCTACTCTTCTGGTTAGAAAAAAAAATAAAAAATCAAGTTGACTTTTTTTAATTCACTTCTCAAGGTTATTAAATGTTGTTCTCTCTTAATTAATAGAAATTTGCTATCATAAGATTATATGTTACCACAAAGGATAACCTAGTGATGTTCATATCTCCAAATTTATTCAATCAACGCTGCATCTCATGTGGTTTACAATCTTTTTCTATTCTACGTGACTATTATATCTCTTCTTTGATCTTTCTTGGATTAATACTTTTATGTGCTCGCGAAATTGTGCTTGTTTAGTCCTAATTGGGATTCCCAAGTATTAACTATATTAACAATACTCTTTCTTAGTAACAACTTTAGTAGATGTTAACTTCTTTTAAATTCTTATCAATTATTATTCCATTAGTGTGTAATACCACTACCACCTCCACCCTTTTACCCATCAATGCTCCTATACTACTGTGATACCCCCGGATTTCTGGATGCGGGTTGGCCAGGCCCATGCCTGAATACCCGAGGATATAAAAAACAAATCGGTAATAATCGAACACAGAATACAAAATAGATAAAAAAGAAGAAATAAATTTCTGAAAGAAAACTAAAATGATAATCCATTAATTGAAACCTCAGAATAAAATTTCATTAAATAAATAAATATTTTGATATATCCAATCCTCCAAATAAATACAACTCGGGAATCCATACTAAGTGGACCCCTAGAAAATCTCAACTGAACAAGTGACAACAATAATTGTCTACGTCAGAACACTGGAACGTACAAGAAACTCCTATGTAGATAATCCGGAAGAATGAAGTAGACTGATCCCTGCTTAGCACAAACAATTTTTACACCTGACGAACACCTGAAAAATAATGGTGGGTCAGACCCACAAACAAGTTCTACTCTACCACAATCCAAGCAGAGACCCGATACAAGTATACATTCTAGTTAATCCAACAATAGCTATGTAGTCTATATATATATATACACACACTAAGGGACTCTCACTAGACTACAAAGCGGTCTCAACTTGATTAGTAGGCAACATGCAAAATGCACCTGAAGTGGGCATGAGTATATAGACCTAACAGGGTACACCACTAACCATCATAGCCAGCTATGCATCCCACTGCATATACGCTCCCTAACCATCATCCTGAGACTCAAGCTCATATCATAGCTCATAACTATATATATATAAAATCCATCCTAATTCAGAACATAAAATAAATATCCGGTATGTCATCCAACTGATTCCGTTGACCTGACATGAAAATATGTAGGATTTAACATTTTAGTTAATTTATTCCGTTAGGTAGAACTTAAAGTTTTTAGTTAATCCGTCCCTAATATGCCACCATCGCATACTGGTGCATATAATGCATATGATCCATAAATGATGCAACATCCAAAGTAATACATCAAATAAATTCACAGTTGATGCAATAGTTATAATATTACATCAAATAAATTCAGAATTAAGCATAATAAGATCAGACCAAATACATGACCATATTATTCTGCTAATGTATGATTAAAATCATATAATATCCATATTAATTGCTAAGTTATTTTTAAGCAATTAATTCCTCCATTCCATCTAATAATTGAAGAAGAAATATGTAAATACAACATTAATTACATCCAGAGATAAGCATAATAACAGTCAGACAATAACTTAGTTTACTACTGCTAATACATGATAAACATTATATAATATTCATGAAATTTCTTAGAACAATTTCAATAATTAAGTAATCATTAATCAATATGCAAATTTAACTGAAATTTCATATTAATCACTTCTATCACCTATAGGTATGGATTAAACATTCTAGGATTTTAACATGTTCATTGTAGTCATTTAAACCATCCATAATACCCTACACAGCCCTGGAACACCCAAAACCTCAAAATAGTAGCTGAAAATCCCAAAATATTAAAGTAGCGGCGAGAGCAAGCTCTGTCCTCGTGAGAGCAAGCTCTCGTCTTGAGGGAGCAGGCTCTCAACTTCATAGAGCCGGCTCTCTCCCTCTGATAGTCGTCAAAATAATTCCCTTTTGGGAGCCGGCTCTCAACCTGTTCTGCATCATCTTCCTCGTCTCCAATGAATTCCAATTCCTCAGTTCTCCATTGTTGATGGTCCTAAGAGTTTGAACTAAGTCCCGAATCATTCTAGTAATTTATATAAATCAATTATGCATCATTAAAATCAATTAAAACAAATACTCATGGCATAAATTGCAAGATCAATCAATTACAAATAAATTCATCTAACATTGATTTAAATCATAATTAGCATGCATAATAGATCAATTTAAAGTCTGATTAGTTCATGGAATTAACTTAGGCCTGTATAGAAACACGAAGTCTAAGGAAAGGAGTAAGAAGAAGAACTTGCCTCTAGGTTTCGAAATGAAACCTATCAAAATCCATCATTTAAAAAAATTAAATAAAACAAAATAGAACATAAATCCATTATTTTATTTTAATCCTAACAATTAATTACAATTATTTCACACATCATTTAAGCAAGTAAAATATCCAATTAATACACCACACAAGCACCCAATTAAATCAAATAAATCACATAAACAATTATGACAAATAAGCATATAATCATGTAACCACATAAGCACATAATCCCGTAAGCACATAAAATACAATAAAATAACTAATTAAATTCCTTTTATATCCTTTTGAAACCTAGGGGTATTACAACTATCAAGTCTCCGTTCTATGCCTACTTTCTTAAACTAACTTCTTTATTCTTGCTCGTTCATAATAACGAGGGAGTCGTTGCCTGCTCTTCACTTTATCCTAATATGAATGTGTTTTAGGGTGTGGGTATTAATGATGCATTATAAGCAACGACTGCTTGTTCATTTAACCTGCTTAAGCATTCCATAGTCACCACTTGCTGGATTTGATCTTTCACTTCACAAATATGGAGCTTTCCAACAGTACTAAGCTCTAAAATTTCCTTCTTTCTTGGGTCAGTCAGTTTTTATGGTTTTATTCTTATATGGTATATGCTTATATTTGCAGTTTCAAGCTTCACGAACTCCAGCAAAAAAAGCTGTTCCCACAAATCGTAGAGCATCATTGCCATTTCCTACAAGAGCTGCAGTTGAAGGATCACCTTGCACGCCCTATATTGGAATTAACTCTCCGGATGTTTCTGTCAATTCCCCTCGAATTGACAGGATTGCTGAATTCCCAATGACCTCATATGAAAGTCCCTTCCTCCCTGTTCGTAGAACTTCATCAACCTCTGCACAAGGCTCAAACTCACCACCACAAGGCGACCATTCGATCTTGAAGGATAAATGTATGGTTCAGGTGTGCAATAGAACCTTTGGCAGGCTGAGTTTCACCGATGCTTGGCAGGGAATGGAAGGCACGACATGCAAGTTGGATGGGGAGGACATTGGAAGTGAGGGCTCTAATCAAAATGCTACAACCGGGGCATCAAGTCGAACCTCATCAGACTTGCGCCGCAGGCGATTTGACACCTCATCTTACCAGCAGCGAGCTGAGGCTTTGGAAGGGTTGCTTGAATTCAGTGCAAGGCTGTTGCAAGACGAAAGGTTTGACGAATTGGGGGTTATTGAGGCCGTTCGGGCCAGGAAAGGCTTCTCCCAGATAAACTGCTATCTGGTTGACTAAGAGCTTCAAGGAGAACACAGTGAAGCAGGACGATCAATGCCAAGTAGGGGTGCAACTCTGGCGGGCTAGCCCAGCCCAACCCGAGTCCAGTCTATAAATTTTAAAATCTGGACATATAAATTCACAATTCGGATTTAAGTCGGGTTGAGTTTTATCAAAACCCAACCTTATTCGAGTTGGGCTGGGTTCAACCCGAACCCAACCCGAAAGCCCAAATTAAACATAAATCCTTCTCTTCTCTCTCTAATCCCTATATCGACTACAGGTTTAACACAAATCCTAACTTTCTCTCTCCTCATCCTTCTCTTTTCTCTCTATATCGCCTTCCTACCGATCTCCCGCCAAAGTTGAAACGAAGCTCGCAATCTGTCGGAGACTCCCTCTATCTCACATCTCTCGGCGACTACTGCTAAAGTCGAAACGCTGCTCTCGCCACCAGAGAACAGGTTTTTTTTTTAAATTCACACTCTTTCCCTATTTGGGTCTTCGATTCTTAATGCAATTATCATTTCACACGTATATGTTGTGTGGATATTTGAATTTTGATCACATTATTTTTTGCATAAAACATATCAGAGTGGAGCCATCTGTTGGCTGGCCTTCCTTGTAGGTTATTTTGTATATTTATTCTCCTTTTCCGCTCCTACATGGTAATGAATTTTATAGTTATTTGCGATTGTATTGTACTTAATTTATTACCCACCTATTTCAAAATTTTCTTCATCTTCTTCTTCTGTATATATATATATTTTGTTAAAACATTGCAAGTAATTACACGTATTCTTAGAACAAAATAAAGTTGTCAAAACCAATCCTACTTAGAGAATTAATTTCAACAGACTTTTATTTTCACCTGATTCCTTTTTTTGTTATTATTATTATTGTCTTTTCTGCAACTTTCAAACTATGACGAAAAATAGTCAAAGCGCATCTCTACTCAACCACATACCCTCAGTGCGTACCTATCCAGGAAAGGGATCTAATATTTGAAAAAAAAAAAGTTATAACCAGATTGAATGGATGATGTAATATACATATACATATACATATATGTATATATATATATAACATGGAGGTATGCAGTAGCAGGTTTACAAGTGGTATACCGTGTGGTGTGTGTGACACCATAAGTAGTTAAAATCTAGCATTACTCATCCAGGCACAACTAGTTAAATATGGTAGTAGCATTGCTCATCTATGGTCCATATATATATGGATTAGATGGTCTCATGATCATCTTGTTCTGATTGATCCCAACAAAATGGCATTATATTTCATCAATGAAAATGCACAAAGATCTTAATAAAAATTGCATTTAGATTGGTCTTGATCGAAAAAGAACAATTTAATACTTGGAACTAGTGCAGTTGGATTGGATTTGAAGGTGACAATATGTATTATGCCCAAACTTGGTTTTGACCATTTGATATTGAGCACTCTTGTTGTATAATATATTATGGTGTTTGAACAAAACCAGAGCTGATAATTGTTACGGTATGATAATGGGGTTCATGTACATCTCTCTCTACCTTTTGTTGAGCACTCTTGTTGGATAATATATTATGGTGTTTGAACAAAATATTATTGTTTCAAGGTTTTTATTGTCGAACAAGGTATTGAATACTTAATTTGTCCCCTTTTTGTTGTTTAGCGTACTTCATTAATGTGCTATTTATAAGTTTATTATTTTATATTTGTGGGAAAAAGTAGCATAAAGTTTGAACTGTACTGCCCAGATTACATACATTGTACCATGACATTTTCATTATTGAAATTGTTATAATTAGAGGGGGGCAAGCTTGAAACTAAAAGATATGGGTTTTGATTTTTTGAACAATCTTGAATGATATGCGCGTTTTGAACTTTTGATTCTCGCAGACAGATGGATAAACTGAAATATATGGGTTTTGAACTTCTAATTCTTGTAAATTTTGTAGTTTGCAGTAGCAGAGAGAGAGAGAGAGAGGGAGGGAGAGTTTGCAGTAGCAGAGAGAGAGAGAGGACAAGTTTACAGTTGAAAAATATTTTTGTTTTTTGGTTTAGTTACTAAATATATATATATATATATAAATTTAACCTATGAACTTGACCCACCCGAACATATTCTCATGTTGGGTGCAATTCGGATTGACCCAACCCAACCCAATTTCGAGTTGAGGTTGGGTTGGGCCAACCCAAGTTGTACCCCTAATGCCAAGAACATCTGACACAGGTACTTTAATTGCTGCTGTAACAAATTCTAGAGTTGGTTTCTTCAGCTTTTTCCAATGTTTACATATTTTATTATTGGCATTGAGATAGGCAATGTGGATTTGATTTTCGGAAAAAGGAAATGAAAGAATAGGATTTTTTTTTTTTTTTTTTTTTGAATTTGTAAATAGGTAATCTGACGTGGGCATATAGGATTCTGTAGAATCTGTAGATCTATGGCTACAAAGCAAATGATAAACTTCTTTCTTTTGCCCGTTTTCTTAATTCTGTGCTATGTTTGGGAGCACCCTCGGTGCTTCCATGACGCAATACATTCTCCAAATTCAAAGGTGCCGAATGGAATTTATGTGAGAACAAAATGTGTGAAGTGAAGTACCCTCGCAACACCATCGTTCGGCCTCTTTCGAATTCTGAGAATGTTTCATATTTCTTCCTTTAATTCTATGCTTTCCTTACTTCCTTATATTTATTGATCATTGACATTCGAAGCACTAGTTTTTAAAGAGGGAATGATGGTAACAAGAAGTGCAGGCTATGTTCCATTTTTCTTCCTTTATATATATATATATTTTATTTGGCGAAGTGCATAAATTTCATAGGAGTATTTTGGACAATAAGTCAAAAAGTAATTTCATCAATTAATTTCAATGCAATTCCCATAAAATTAGTAACAATGTTATACTATTTGGCTCTTGGTAGTGGATGTTGTTGGCTTGTTTGATCAACCAACCACAAAAACCTAAAACCAATACAATAATCAGCCACCAGAAAAAGAGAAATAATGCAAAATTGAAAATCAGATTTATGTTATCAGCCATGTATGTGTGTGTAGAGAGCCTCTGGTTGTCGTCGACCATCATAAAACCCTTCTACAAAAACTCGTGAATCCCAGCACAAACGGATCAACTTGGCCCCTTTGCTTAAGGACACAAAAGAAATAATTTTGTCAAAAACATTTCACCTTTATAATATGAAAACAAAACATGGTAATAAAAAATTATATGAATATATGGAAATCTCCAGCCAAGCGCGCATACCAGCGTGCAGCCAAGCTAAGGTGTTAAAGCCATGAGGGACCTAGTGGGGGTGTCGTGATGACCGTGTCATGTGGGTTTTTTTTTTTTTTTTTTTTTTTGGGCATTTAATTTATTTCATTCTCTTTACTTTTCGTTTTCGTGGGACCGCGGGAAGGTTGGCCAGATGTTGAGATGTTGTGATGACGGTGTCAATTTTTTTTTTTTCTTTTTCTTTTTTGACATTTAATTTATTTCATTCTCTTTCCTTTTCGTGGGACCGCAGGAAGGTTGGCCAGAGGTTTGAAGAAAAATCAGATGGATTTAGAGATTTCAATCTTTACACATTAATCCACTGTTTGAAAAGGGTCGTGCTTTTCTGAACAAATATGACTTATTTAATGTTATATGTCTGAAATTATATATTTTAAAAATTGTTCGATAATTCTATATTCTCAAACAAAATAAATAATGCTTAAATATTTTTATACATTACACAATTTAATGAAGAGATATCCAACACACTAATATTATTGCATATTTATTTCAATCAAACTAATTACAAGCAATTAATTTATATTTATTTTGTACAAAACCCTTATCCGGGATTTGTAATCAGGTCCGCCAGTTTGCGGCAACTGTGCGTGACCGTTTTAATTGTTACATCTAATTGCATTACGGTATTATATTTTACCATTGACCTATCAATTAGATTAATAGAAAAGATACAAACTTAACATACATTTTACACTCGCTCTTAAAACTTTGCACCCTCCTAAGAATTTGAAATATGTTTGTTATAAATGTTACTCTTATTTATAGCATCCTCATTCCTAATGGTCTGTTAGGATACATTGATTAAAATTTAATGTCTAGAACACTCCAACATACAAATTCTTTATTCTTCTACCATTTTCTTTCATCTACCAATTTTTCTTCAATATTCTAAAATTCTCATTTCACTATAACACTTCATACTATTTATAGTCTTAGATTACATATTATTCAACTGAAAATATATAAGACATATGAGAAGAAGATTACTATATGTGAATTTCCGAAAAAAAAGAATACTATATGTACATGCGGTCAATTTATTTATTTATTTTTAAAAATTATAACCAAACATATCCATATTTGCATTTTACCATTTTCATTTATTATGATATATATTTTTTTTTAACATTTTCGTTATTAAAAAAAAACAAATTATATCCTAGTTTACAACAGCATAGCCACGTATTTTTTCACCAAATATAGTTTTATATCTAAATAACATTTAAAAGTGTTAGAATTTTTTGAATGAAAATTGTTTCAATAGTAATTAATAGATGCCTTTGATTGAACAGATGTGATCATTTGTTGGTTGTTAGATGAAAAGATGCAACTCAAAATCAATAGAGATAACCTATTCAAAGTGAACCATTGCAACTTATTGGAGTGGATGTGTCTATTGGTGAACAGACACCATGTGAACCATTGCAATCAACTAGAATGGTTGTGTCCAGTGATGGAAAGACACTTCTAAATGGTTGTGTCCAGTGATGAGAAGACACTTCTAAATGGTTGTCTTGTGATGGAAAGACACATTTAAATGGTTGTGTCCAGTAATGAAGAGACATATATAAATAACTGTCTCCAATGATGAATAGACACACTCAGTAACCAATAGCACCATTTTATCTATAAATACCCCCCTTATCTGCATATTTCATTTGCACAGTTGATTATTCTCTCCCTCTCTTGAGATGAACCCAACTCAAGTGGATGTGGGTTCAAGTGGTCTGAGCCACTAAGGCCCAAAA